TGATTAAACCGAGCAACTCACTGCCACAAGACAGCACAGGGTTCTAATAATAAAAGAACAAATCCCAGAAGCAGGGGAAAAGCAGTTTTACGCCTTGGTAAAGCAAATAATTCCACGTTTTGGAAAAGTTTAGAGACACCTCCAGCATGGTTTGGAGCCTCTGGGTTGGGCTTTTTGTCCTTGAGGATGTCCAGGCTCAGGTCTCTGCCAGCTGTGAGGCTGCTCTGTGAGCCCAAAGCGATGGCCTCGATCACAAGTGACAGAATAGCAGATTAAATAAAGGTGAGTTTGCAAATAAAGATGTGTTTCTTCCCCCCACACTCAACACACGAACATTCATTGAACACCTGGGTAATATGGACTATTATGGGATAGTCGAAATTAAAACTCCACCTCTCAGGTGAGCACCCCCCAGAGAGGTCCAGTCTCAAATTCTGTTAAAATCTCGTGGTCAGACCATCCCCAAAAAAGTGCAATAAAATTCCTCCAGCCACCGCAAAAATCAACAGTTAAAAAATCAACAAAACCAGAACTTTATATAAATTATATAAATTTATATAATAATATATATAAAATATATAAAATATATAATATATATTAATATATTATAAATATATTATAATAAATATTATATTATATTATACTATATCATGTCATATAATATTATATATAATTATAAAATATAATATAATTTTAAAGAATATTTATATTCCTTTATAGTAATTTTTAAAGAATATTTATATTCCTTATATTAATTTCTAAAGAATATTTATATTCCTTTATATTATTTTTTAAAGAATATTTATATTCCTTTATAGTCTTTTCTAAAGAATATTTATATTCCTTTATATTCATTTCTAAAGAATATTTATATTCCTTTATATTCTTTTTTGAAGGATTTTTCTTCTTGGTGAGATTTGGGCAGGAAAATGCAACAATTGAAAATCACATGAATATAATAATAATTCATAATAATAAGAATATGAATATAATAATATATTAGCCATACAAATTTTGGAAAAAACATTAATTTACTCATTGTTATTGGAGTAGGCCCTTGCAGTCCCAACCACCCTGACAGCCTCACTCTGTTGGAGGATTTTTTTTCCAGCTACTCGTTGGAGTCTGATGGATTTTTAAAACTTTATCTCAGGTTTTTCAAGAAAAAAAATGGAGAATGGGAGGAATGTTCCACAACTGTGGAAAAAGGCTGTTTTAAAGATGTTTTTTCCATTTCCAGGGCTGTCTGCAGGGCAGCAGCCACCACCGTGGACTTGCAGAGGAGACGGGGAGCGGATCCCTTCCTTCTCCCTCCTCCTCTCCATCCCTCAGGATGCTTCAGCCAGCACAGAGCAGCATCCTCTCTGCTTCCCAGGCCCTGGGATTCCCACTGGAGATCCCAGAGAAATCCCACTTGTAGAGCTGGGAAAAGCAGTGCCAGACACCGAGGACGAATCCAGGAGAGGACCCGGCTGGGCTCCATGGATGTTCTGTGTCCGTGTGCCTTCTGTTGGAGTCAGAGGCACTGAGTGCCTGCCCTTGTCTCTGATAGCTGGCTCTGACATCCAGGAGAACTTCAAATTCCATATAACGCCATGAAAACAGCTGTTAAAGTTAAATAGAAAAGCTAAAAGGTGGAGTGTGTAAATTAAAAAGTTTCTCAAGTCACTGGGTGAAAAAATTAAAGTTTAGAGTATAAGCTGGTTTAGAAAACAGAAGACAAGATCGAGGGTTTAGGGCTTTGTCTCTTTTCCTTCTTTCTTCTTCATCTTCTTCTAGAGATTTTTGAGTAGTAATAGGTGATTGGATAGAGAATGCTGCAATGCAGCACACAGGTGTTGGGTCATTGGGTCACTAAGAAAAATAATTTACGTGTCTATAGTTAATTGGGTAAAAATAAAGATAAAAGAGCTGCGTATTTTGAGGCCATTTTGTACTGTTAAAGCCAACTTGAGCCAAGCTATGATGAGTTAAAGTGAAAAGCCTGGGGAGGATTGCCAAATCTTTTGAGATATATAAATATTAATAAACATGAGAAACAAGAAGCAAATGAGCATGTGGAAAATCTTTCCTGAAACAGAACTGAGATAAAGGAAACTCCCCTTTGAGAGAGTATCCCAGAGAGAACATGGCCCCAAAGAAACCAGAATCCCACAGCAGCAAGGAGTGCAACACCTTCAGCACCTCAGGCCAGCTCTCCAAAGATGTCCAGGTGTGGATATCCAGGGAATGACAAATTCCCAGATTCCCTACAGCACCCACATGTGGTGAGAACACAAACATTGGGTCACCCACGACTGACCCAGTTATGATAGCCAAAAAGAGGAGTTGATTACCTCCCTTAATTGCTGTCACAAATTGTGCCTGGTTAAGGTTTCTCCCTGGGGATGATCTCGTGGGAGACCACGCACACACAGCAGCAATTGGTCCCTTTCTGTCCTAGAATAAGGATTTTTCTCACCTTGCCACAAAGTTAATTTTTAATTTTGCTGTTATCACAGAATCCCAGAACGGTTTGGGCTGGACCTTAAAGATCATCCAGTTCCACCCCTGCCATGGCAGGGACACCTTCCACCATCCCAGGTTGCTCCAAGCCCCATCCAACCTTGGCCTTGGACACTTCCAGGCATCCAGGGGCAGCCACAGCTGCTCTGGAAAATCCATCTCCACCACCCTCACAGGGAAGAATTCCAATATCCCATCTAAATCTCCTTTCAGCTCAAAGCCAGTCCCCTTTGTCCCATCACTGCATTGCATCTCCTGTGCTTTTGCACGGAGGATAAATAATCCATTTATTTATTGTCAATACGTGTAAATCAATTTATTTATTGAAATAAATTATTGGCTGTTTTTTCCCCCTCTTGCTTCACTGATGAACAGCACAAAGTGTAGGAACATCTCACATGGGAACAGCACCGAAACCTTTTCGTCACTGGTTCCACAAACTCGTCCTCCTCACCTGTCAGGAGCTGCCAAATGTAAACAGCCACTGCCATCTAGTGACCACGGAGCAGCTCCCAGCGCCCGAAAATTCCTTCTCTGGCTTCTTCAGGGGAACTCCTGAGGGTCCTGAGAAAGGAGATGAGCACCTGGCCTCAGGTGAAGAACTCCAGATTATGTGGAGTCATTTCACTGGCCACTGGTTTGACATTTCTTGGGCAGGTGGGAAGGGAATATGAAGCTCACCTTTGAATTTTTAGGGTTGGAGAAGCCTTCTAAGATGATAAACTCCAAGCAGTAATGCAGCACCACTGTGTTTACCACTAACCCATGTCCCCACGTGGCTTCTGAACATTTCCAGGGGTGGGGACTCCACCTGCCCTGGGCAGCCCCTTCCGATGCCTGCCCAGCCTTTCTGTGAAGAATTTTCCCTGATAGAAAACCTAAACCTCCCCTGGCCCAGCCTGAGGCTGTTCCCTCTCCTGTCCCTGATCCGTGGGAGCAGAGCCCGACCCTCCGGCTGTCCCCTCCTGTCAGGGAGTTGTGCAGAGCCAGAAATTCCCCCTGAGCCTCCTTTGCTCCAGCCTGAGCCCCATTCCCAGCTCCCTCAGGAATTCTCCAGCCCCCTTCCCAGCTCCCTCAGGAATTCTCCATCCCATTCCCAGCTCCCTCAGGAATTCTCCAGCCCATTCCCAGATCCCTCAGGAATTCTCCAGCCCCTTCCCAGCTCCCTCAGGAATTCTCCAGACCATTCCCAGCTCCCTCAGGAATTCTCCAGACCATTCCCAGCTCCCTCAGGAATTCTCCAGCCCCTTCCCAGCCCCATTCCCTTCCCTGGACACTCTCCAGCCCCTCAGGGTCCTTCTGGTCATGACAGGCCCAAAACTGACCTCAGGACTTGAGTTGTGGCCACACCAGGGCTGAGTACAGGGGTAAAATAAAACCTGAATGTCTCCTGAGTCTGGTCACTCCAGCTGCCTGCCCATATTCCCAGGAAAAGCTGTCCTGCCTGTGGAGAGAGTGATCAGGAGGATGGGAGTTATCCATCCCTCTGTTTCAGCTGCTCTGGTCCTCCCCATGGCTCAAGCTGGAGCTGAACCACACAACAGCAACCAGAGTTTCAGTTACCAGAGCATTAATTAATTGATTAGATTGATTAAATTCAGCGATTAAAGTGATTCAATTAAAGATTGCCATCTGGGAGGAACCCACTGCTGAAAGGAGGGTTAATTTTAGGGCTCTGCTTCCCAGCTGTTCACCCTCATCTTCCCGAGAGCTGAGTTCCTTCAGGATGGCCCCAAGCCACGTCTCAGATCCCAGATTTTAGCCACACCCTCGGTGGGTTGGGAAAATGGGGCTGGAATTGGAATTAATTAGTCCTGGAGGGGAATTCATGGTAGGGTTGGAGGGAGCCGGTGTCACCGGGCTCTGTCGCCTCTGAGGAGCCCAAACTGAGGTGGCAGAAGGCTGTGCAGCCACCTAATCCTGCGTGGAGCTGGAAAAGAGGCGGATTTCCAGCTCCAATATTTCATCCGACACCCGCACACCGCCTAGAAAAACTCAACAGGGCTGAGTGTGAGGTGACACAATGTCGGTGCATCCTCTGGAGAGCTCCCTGCCCAAAAAAAGACCCGAAAATGGGCGGTTTTGGGGCTGGAGCTGTGCTGGGAAAGGTCTGGTTTGCCAGGAGATGGCACTGGATCTCCACGGAGCCGCCTGTGGAGCAGGTGCATCCCAACCCATCCCAGCTGCTTCTGCTCCTCAGCTGGCCTTAAAACCCTTCCCGACTCTCTCCTTCCCAGGGATCCCGCAGATTTTGGGTTCAGCAGGTGCGCCAGGACAGCTTTATCCACACCTGGAATCTCCTGGAATTCACAGCTCTTCCTACACAACCAGTGCAGAACGGGTAGGGTGGATTCCCCACTTCCAAATATAAGGAAAAAAACCCTTTTTCCCCCCCTTTCCTTCCTTTTTCTTTCATTCCCTGGACTCAAAACCTTGCTTCCCGAGGAGAAAAAACACCTGAAATAAATGCATTCAGCTCGGCAAGGACATTTTTATTTTATTTTTTTATTTAATTGCTGTTTATCTCTACACTGGAGATGTTCACCTGCCCATCGCAGCTTCCAGAAGTCCACGGAAATCACGGGAGAAGTGGGAAACGGAGGGCTTTTATTCTGCAACAGATGAAACAATTGCGATTTTTGAGGGGATTTGGAGCTCCCCGTGCCCCGGGTCGGGTATGTGGCCAACAGATGGGGCCATTCCCAAACCCTCCACCTGGAGATCCCGCAGAGCAGCTTCTCCCAGTGCCCACAGCAAGGTGGCTCCGGAGGCTCCGGGATGAAGTTTCCATGGGATGTGCCGAGGAAAAGCTGCGGGGAGGAAGGTCAGTGGAAAAAGTCTTGGAAAAGATCAGCAGGCAAGAGCAAGACTCCAACAAATCCTGCTCCTCCACTTCTTTCCCGTGATAAAACCTGTCGGTTCTGCCAATAAAACCTGGAAAACTCCCCCAGGGCAGGTTTGGTTCCTCAGAGGAGCAGCGGGAGAACAGCACAGATTTTCCCAGCCTTTTCCACACCCACCAGGACCATCCTTTCCACTTGTAGGGATGCAGGATTTCCCTCCACCTTGGGAAAATCCATTATTAACTTAGTGAGCCATGGCTCTTTGAGGAGGTCGGATGTGGACCAGGGAATCACAGGATTCCCAGACTGGCCATCAGGGACCAGCAAAGAATCCATCAGAAAGGCACAAAAAACCCCATTTTCCGTCCCCCCCCCCCCACATCTGGAAAAGCAGAGGAAATGGTGAAACTCTTCTTGCAGAGGCAAATATGAGCCCTTCTTTTATTCCACTTTCATCACTTTTAATCCCTTGCGCGTTAAGACCTCAGCTTGTAAAAAGCAAAATAAAGGCATTCAACCTTTTATAGCAGGAGTTTTCCTGCTTATTAATAATCCTTAAATATTATTAAATTGCCAAGTGGAAGAGAGCAGTGCTGGGACTTGCTTTGGTCAGGTTCCATCCTGTGTGTGGATTTAATTGCCTGCACCCCTGAGTTCTTTCTCAGGACCTGTGGGAAGGAAAGCAAGCCCCCAAAACAAAGTGCAGAACCCCAGACATCAGAGTCAAGCCCAGCAAGGCGCAGTTTTAGCCCAGGACAAGGCTGAGCCCTGTGCCATAACCCAGCAGCACAGGTAAGTGCTGGTCTTGGAGTGTCACAGGCTACTGCCAGTCACACCTGGAGTCATGGAATATCCTGAGCAGGGAGGGATCCACGAGGATCATTGGCTCTAAATCCTGGTCCTGCACAGGACAACCCCAAAAATCACACTCTGCTTCAATAAGGGACCACCAGGCAGAAAATGCCCCAACTTTTCACCCGAGGGAAGGCTGTGCTACCCCAGCTCTTCTCTCCCAGCAGTCCCCATGTCCTTCACCTTCTCCCAAGGCCAAGTGGCTCGCCCAAAACTCTCTTCCCAAATTTTAGGCTCCTCCTATTGCTTCATGCCAAGACTACAAGCACGGACTTTCAGCAGCAAGGCCACCTTCAGCACCCAAATCTTCACTCACCACAAAAGCTGCTCCTGGAGACTTCTCCTGGCGTTTTCCAGCTTGGCCTGCCAGTCCTGGGCTTTGCTGCAACTTGCAGGAGCCCTTAAACCTTCAGCGTGGCTTTGTTTCAAGACAGGACCTGAAGGAAGGATGGACGAGGTCCAGCCTGTGCTGAAAGTGCCAAGGAGCCTCACGCATACTTTGGAGGATTTGAGGTGAGTGGTTAAACTAGATGGGAATTGCTTTTATCTGCCCAGCAGCCCAGGCCAGCAGGAACACGCTCTTGGAAGCTGCACACACTTTTCTGGCTTTTGAACGTGGAGGAACCCAGGGCACACGGGATCCTCCCTGCAGGAAACACGAGCGCTGCGCCCTTTCCTGTGTGGGACCACACAGAACTGGGGACACCCATGGCTGGGGACACCCAGGGACACCCATGGCTGGGGACACCCAGGGCTGGGGACACCCAGGGACACCCAGGGCTGGGGACACCCGGGGACACCCAGGGCTGGGGACACTCAGGGACACCCACAGCTGGGGACACCCAGGGCTGGGGACACTCGGGGACACTCACAGCTGGGGACACCCAGGGCTGGGGACACCCAGGGACACCCACAGCTGGGGACACCCAGGGCTGGGGACACCCACAGCAGCCCCTCCTGCCACCTCTGTGGTGCTTGGAGACCATGCCTAGCCCCAGCCTAACTGGGACTGCAATTGGTGTTAATCGCAGAAAGAGGGAATGATGGAATATCCTGAGTGGGAAGAGATGCACAGGGATCATTGATCCAGCTCCTGACCCTGCACAGACCCCACCAACAACCCCACCCTGGGCATACCTGTCCAAATGCTCCCAGAGCTCTGGCAGCCTCGGGGCCCTGCCCATTCCCTGCACCCTCTGGGGGAAGAAAATTTCCCTGATTTCCCAACCTCAATCTCCCCTGACACAGCTCCAGCCATTCCCTGAGTCCTTTCACAGTCACAGAGAGAGGAGATCCGTTCCTTCTCCTCCCCTTGCCCTCAGCAGGAAGCTGCAGCTGGACGATTCGGGTTGCTGGGATCTCAGGAGGTGTCTGATTGTGGGGAGGTGGGTGTGAGACACTCGTTTGGCCTGGAGGTGGGGATGCAGAAAAACTGCAGGAATGGACGGAAGAGAAGACCTGGGCTGATAAGAAGGTTAAGAGGGGGATTAAGAGGGGCTGTGCAAGGTGATTGTGATGATTTTTTGCGTTTTCCACTCTCACTGCTGTTTGCCTGGCTCTGGCTCACACCAACAACCAGCACTGTGCTGAAGAAGCACAAATCCCTCAGCAGATCACCCAAAGGAGACCCCAGCACGTGCTCTGGGTGTCCTGTTCCTCACCCGTGGCTCACCCACACCAGTCACAGGACGGAGAGGTGGCCACGCAGCAGCTGAGTGGCCAAGGGGCCTCTCTGCAGGCGATTTGTGTCCTTCCCATCACTGCTTTCCTGCTGAACCCAGCACTTCCCACGCCTCAGGCGTCTCCGTGTGACAAAGCTGCACCTCCTGCACCCACAGAACCCCCTGGAAATGTCCTGTGCTCCCCAGAGCTTGGGACGCCACTGAACATGGGTGAGGAACCCTCTCAGGAGGGTAAATCAGGGGATGGTGGCAGGGGATGCTTCAGTGCTCAGCCCCTGACCTGTGGCCCGCTCTGTGTGAAAGCTGACAATGATTTACAGGCCAGGAGAGCTTTGCATGCCCACACACACTCCCAGGGGCCAAGACGCCCTCGCAAACTGCAGCTACACCCTGAGCTCCAGCCCCCGGGAACGGGGCAGGGCACGGATTCTGCCTCTCAACCCAGTGCCAGCGTGGGAGAGGAGAGCAGATTGCTTCCCTCGTGCTCCTCGTGGAGGTTTAGGAACAGCCAAAATGAGAGAGGAGGGCAGGTGGGTGATGGGAACTTGGCTGAAGGAGGAACCCAGAGTGAGCCCTGCCCATCAAACAGGGCATCAAATCTGCACCAATATTAGAAATGTCTCACTGCTTTTGGAGCTCAGGAGTGCCAGGCTGGTCACAACCCTGCCTGTGCCTGCCCAAAAACCCAAAATCTGAGCCAGGATCCTGTGGCACTAAATAAACCAAAAATTCAATTCAATAAAATTCAGTTTTAGAATGTCTCACTGCATTTGGAGCTCAGGTGTGCCAGGCTGGTCAAAACCCCAAAGTCTGAGCCAGGATCCTGTGGCACTAAATAAACCAAGCTGGAGCATGGACAAAGCCCATCCATCCATGGTGTCCCCACTCCAAGCTGGATGGCTGCCCCAAACTGACTCCTGGGAAATTACATTTTTACCTAAAAATACTCTGGAAAATAAGAGATCCCATCCAAAAAATAAAAAGATGGTACACATCTGCATACAAACCTATTCCAGGTGTGCACAAGGTTCAGGCAACCACAAAAAGCTTGGAAAAATGTTCCCAAGCTAACCACCCGACCTGTGACTCCTGCCCACAGCCCAGTGATGTGATGTGACTGTTTTGGAGGGATATGAAGAAACCTGAGTGCCCAGCAGTTCCAGTTCATACAGCAGAACATTTTCCTGCTATCGGCCTCAGAAATGGATTCAAAGAAGACAGAAGGTGAAGGACAGTAAAGGTAACACGGAGATAAACTGGAAATTAGTGAGCAGGTCTCTCCTAAACCTCCCTGGCAGCTGGGGAAGGACAGATGCAAATGCAGAACCACACTTGGTCTGGTCTGTGGCTCCTTCCAAGGTCAAATTCAGCTTCTCGTTCCAGGTCCAAGCAGAGGGCACCAGGCAAAGATGTGCAAGTTACGCGGCCACTCACGGACCTCTGGGAGCCAGAAACCTCCCAGAACAAGGCTTTGTGGAATCCAGCAAATCCAGGGAAGTTTTCCTTCCATTTGGGTCATTCCATGTGGCTCAAGAGAGCCCAGACATGAGTAGGAGAAAATCAGTGTGAGATCATTGGGCCACGTGTTTGCTGATGGGATCAGATCCCCAGGGATCAGAACGGATGGAGCCCCCAAACCTCAAATCACTGCCTCAGTGTAGGTGTTTGATGTTGTCTGGGGCACCAGGACATCCATGTGAGCCTGACCTGCAGGGCACCAAACCTTTTGGATGTCTGCAGTCAGGTGGGAAGGCAGCTGGAGGCTGGTGGAGGATTTTGGATGGCGGGAAGTCCCTGTGGTTAAACCCCGTTGTGCCTCGAGGTGCAGACACCAAGATTTGGATGCTTCAACGTGCATCCAAATCCCACTTTTTCAAGGTTTGGAGGTCAATCCAAAGGTTTCCTGTGGCCAGCAGAGCTTTAAGGGCAGTGGTGAACGAGAAGAAAACAGCCAAACTGATGAATTTCCAGCAACTGGGACCTGGGGGTGCTTTTCCACCCTCTGCATCCTTTCCTTGGGCACCAGGAGTCTCCTAAATAGTCACGAGTTGCCCTGGGCAGCTGCCAGATTTTCCTTTGGCCACAGACCTGAGAGCCCCAGAGCTCAGGTTTTATTGGGAAGTGATAAAATAAAACCATTTGCTGCAGGAACAGCCAGAAGGGGAATCCCCAAGGATCAATGTCAAGAGTTTTACCCAAGCTGTTTTTGCAGGGCTCACGTGGTCAAGAGCTTTGTAAAGGACTGGAAGTTTAAACCCTGGAGTTTTTATTTAGCTGAAAATTAGCGTGGCAAACAATTTAGACCTTCTGGAGAGAGAAACCTGGCTGGGGACAGATCTTCTGGTTGTTTTTATTCATTTGCAATGATCTGTGTTGGGCATTTTTGGGGGATCATCATCCTCTCTCTTCCCTGGCACAGCCAGGAATTTCAGGGTGGTTTTTAGGATAGTGCAAAAGGAGACAAAAATAATAATAATTAAAAAAAAAAGCTTTAAAAGAGTAAGATGGGGAAACTGGAGACTGGCTACAAGAAACAGCAGAGTGATGTGCAAGGAGGAAGGATATAGAAATAATTGATGGATAATGGCTGTATCAACTAGTTTCTGTACCCTGGAGATGACATCTGCAGAAAATGAGTTGGGATTTGAACTGAAACTGAATTTCTTGGGTTAGAGCCCTTGGGCAATGGAAAATTTGCCTTAAAAGATGTGGGTGGTGAGATTGGACAAAGTTCCTGTGATTTTCATATGCTGCCCCATGGCTGGAAGTGCACAAGGCCAGGCTGGAGCAAGCTGGGATAGTGGAAGGTGTCCCTGCCCATGGCAGAGTTGGAACTGGATGATCTACAAGACTTCTTCCAACCCAGACCTTTCTGTGATTTTGTTGCAGGCATGAATGTGCCTTTAAGGTCCTCCTCAGACAGGATTTTCCTGGATTCCCAGAAAAAAAGAATAAATCAGGCTGGTAGTGAAGGCTTGACATCAAAAAGTGGGTAAAGCACTCGGAGCACAGCCATCTTCCAGGGGGATGAGATCTCAGAGGATGGAGGGTTTGCTGGAACTGGGTGGAGAGGAGCTGGTCTAAAACAGAGGGGACAAACAGGCAGGTGTGAACTCTTTATTTTAAATAGGTTCATTTTTTTATTTGTGCTGGGGAGGTTTTTCTGTGTGTTACTTTGCTCTTCTGTCTTGAGAAGGAGGGGATATTTTGTCTTTATTCCTTTGAGTAGAACTCTCTTCGTTATTAAACCATTTGGTGAATTTTAGCTCCTGAGTGAGTTTTCTGGGTGTCCTGAGGTTCCTGGGGTTGGAAGCCCAGCTGGTGATTTCCGAGTGACCCCGCCACCCCTGAGCCCTGTGGCTGCTGCTGCCAGCCAGGCCTGCAGACAGGTCACAGTAATGTTTAACTCCAGCCTGTGGCACTGCATTCAGAGCCTGCTTTCCCTCCCCTCTGGACAGGTTTATTCCCAGTGGATACAGTGACCCCATCACCTCTCGGTGTCCCCTACACCAAGCCAGGCTGTCTGTCCCTCCACTGCCCTTCACAGGGCATCCTCTGAGAGCTCTTTTCATCTCAGCTCTTCAGCTCTGACCCTCTCCAGGGTCACACAGCCATCCTTGGAGCAGCAGAAAGGATTTTTGTCAGGAAGAACAGGTGGATTCCTGTGCTGGGATGAGGATGGGGTCCTGAAACAGATTCAGGGCTGTGGGGTGAGAGGGCTCTGATTATTGTCCCTGAGCACAAGAAAAGCCACCTCTGTTATCCTTTGATGTCGGATTTGTTTCCTTATCTTTCACTTGCAAGGTTGGATGTTTCAGTCAGGGCAGTGAGATTTCCTTTATGATTGATGATTATGATGTGATTATGATGACGATGGTTTTGTGGTTTATTATTATCTACAGCTGTAGTTATTACTATGAATATTATGGTTATGTGTTTTTACTATATATTTTATATATATATTACTACATATTATATTTTAATACATATTTTATAT